CATCAATCAGCTGCCTCCTGCCCACCCCCTACAAGGGATTGAGCCCAAAACCAGGGCATGTGCCTTGACTGGGAATCAAACTGCAATCTCCTGATGCTCAACTGCTGAGCCATGCCGGCCTCGCACTTTTTTTTTTTTTTTTAATGTTTTTATTGATTTCAGAGAGAGAAGCAGCTCTCCTTCCTTTGGCCCAGAAAGAGGCTCCCATGGGAGCAGCAAAGAAGAAGCTGCACTCTTCCTCCCTCCAGAGCATCCCTGGCCCCCCAAGAACCCTCCGAGCACTAGTTACTTTCTCCCTAGAAAAGGCCCCAACAGGACAGGTTTGCAAGAATGCAAGAAGGTCAGGGACCTCTGAGGCCCATCAGCAAAACCAGAAGCCCTCCCCAGCTGACATCACTTGGCCAGCAGATGGCGCCAAGGCCACAACCTGGGGCGCCATTGGCTGCATCAAAGTCCAACAGATTTTAAATTTATGTGGGGGTTTTTTTGTTGTTGTTCAGAACCAGATTTAATTCTTGGGCAAGGGGCACTCCTGTACCAGCGTCTGTGAATGAAGAGAAAGCAGTGGAGGGTTTGTCCTTCCCCTGCCTAGGACAAACCTAGTTCAGGCTGCTGAAAGGGAGGGCCTCCGGGTAGATGATTGCCAAGTACAACCTCCTGGATTGCCTAGTTCCAGGCGGTGAGCAGTAGTAGCACAGTGAAACATGTCAGAATTTTAAGACATCTTGGACTCTGCAGTGAGAGCCTGGAGACTGGTAGCCCCCACTAGGGGGTTTCCGAACCTGCTGGGTCCTGGCTGGGGTCAAGTGTGGGGCTCTCAAATACCAGGTGTCTGTGGGTAGTGGGGCAACTTGTGTCCATATTGCTGCTGGTTTTGGCACATTAGGTGTGTGTCCCCATGGGACCATTGGGGCCACAACCACTTTCTCCACCTCACTTGGGCAAGAGCTAAGGGTCCTGTACCTCTGCCCCGCTCCTGACCACTCCATTGGAGCAAGAGGTAAGCTGAGTCCCAAGAAGGGCAGAGGCTTGCCCAAGGGCCCACCGAGCGCCTTTCTTCATAATCTTCTGGCTGTTGTGAAAGCTTTTTGCTTCATCCATCTTCTCAAAGAGGTATGGGAGCTATGGGGTCGTTCAGAAGGAGGCTCATGTCTCAGCTGCCGGTGCCGCTGGCTGAGCAAAGCATTGCGACGTGGAACCACTCGCCTGAAGGGGGGTTCTTGTCTCCTACAGCTGGAGGCCTCTTCCCCGCCTCGCCTGAAGGGGGGTTCTTGTCTCCTACAGCTGGAGGCCTCTTCCCCACCTCATGTCCACTTCCTGCTCCCTGCATCCTCTAGCTGTCCTCCAGAGCCTCACCCACCTCTGTCCCAAACTCCAGCCCCAGGGTCAAGTCACATGCAGGGTGGGTCTTGGAGAAACCTGCTGCTGGACTCCAGGACCCCTGCCCTCACCCTCTGCAGCTCAGCTCCAGCAGACGGGGACCAGACCGGCAGCCCCCTAGTGAGGGCAGAACAGCACGGTGGGTGCCACTACCCTCAGCTGGTAGCCCAGCACCTCCACTTACCAGCTCTGTGCCTAGGCCCAGTCCTTAACCTCCTAGTGCCTGAGTGTCTTCATCTGCAAAGTCGGGTTAATGACCGTCCCTGCTTAGAGCCTGGAGGGATCAGGGCTCTGTGCTTGCTAACAGCCTCAGCTGCGCCCTGAGCCTCACCCTTACCGCCCAGAAGGCCAGCACACCTGAGGCTTCCTCTGCCTCACGTGCTGGCCCAGGAGCTCCACCCATATTAGCTCTAATCCTCCCCTCACTATTCCAAGGTGAGAGTTGTTATCTCTGCTTCACAGGTGAGGACACTGAATCTCATCCCAGACAGACTAAGAGCCAGCTGGGAAGTGGCAGAGGTGGGATTTGAACCCAGGTCTATGGGATCCTGAAGCGGGGGCAGGGCTCCCACAGTTGTACCCTGAAGCTGCTCTGGGCCAATAACCAAGCACAAGTTACTGAAGGATTTTTCTGTAGCTATAACAAAGCTTGACCTTTTGAACTTGTACTCTATAGAGTCTGCCTGTCAAAAACAAAACAAAACCCAACTTAAAAATACACAAAGCTCCTGAATAAACATTTCTCCAAAGGCCCTGGCTGGGTGGCTCGGTTGGAGTGTTGTCCCGTCGTACATGAAAAGGTGGCGGGTTCAATTCCCGGTCAGGGCACATACCTGGGTTGTGGGTTCGATCTCCGGTCGGGGCACATACCAAAGGTGGCCAATCGATGTTTTCTCTCTCACATTGATGTTTCTCAAAAAAATTAATAAAAACATATGCTTGTGTGAAGATTTTAAAAAAAAGATTTACAAATGGAAAACAAGCACAAGAAAAAAATACTGCCTGTCCCAGAAACTAGGAGTCCTTACCCCGTCCTGTCTGGACAGCCTCCCAGCCCCGTCTGCAGGGAGCAGCCAGAGGGAGAAGGGCAGTGAGGTTCTCCCTGGAGAAGTTGCTGCTGTCACAGCCATGAGGGACTATGAGCCATGGATTGTCAGAGCTTAGGAGTTTTTTTCAAAGTCAAGTATCCAGATTTTTAAAGGTTGACAACCAATTTTTAAAATGTATGTAACACTGTGATGTCAACCTGAGCCCAGCCTCAGATTGGACCATCTCTTTGTGCACTTGGCTGAGGAACTGTCATATGCAGAATTCATATTCTGGATCAAACCAGAAGAGCCAGGCAGGGATGGCACAGAGTCCTGGTCTCTCAGAGCTGGAGGTGGCCTCCTTGTGACATAGGTAGGGACACTGAGGCCCAGAGTGAAGGGACTTGCCGATATTACACAGGTCTCCTACCCCCCAGCTCAGGGTTCTCACCTCACTCCTAGGCCCTGACCTGTTGCTCAAACCTACTTGCTTCAGAACATTGGCCAACAGTGGATGTCTGGCAAAGGAAAGGAGAGGCCCCTTTCAGGAAGGCACCAACCCTATATGTCACCAGAAGCCCTTGGGCAAGGCAGCCCAAGTAGCACTTAAAAAGGACAGCAAGTGGCAGTGGGTCAGAGAAGGGACAATGGCAGGAGCCTGGAGGGCACTCGTGCTGGTGGTAGGCTTGGCAGCAGTGGCCTGTGTGGCCCAACGCCGTCGGAGCTATGAGGAGATTGTCACCCAAGCTTTGCAGTTCTTCAACTATGGGCGACAAGGACAGCCCCTCTTTGGCTTGCTGGAAGCCATCCCAGTGCCTAGATCGGTGAGTGTCCACGGCTGTGAAGGTGGCATGCAGGAGAGCCCAAGGTGCTTGGTTAACGTGAGCTGTTAACCATTAGTTGTTGTTATGATATTGCTCCCACTGGAAGGGAAGAAAACATTGTCATCTCTGGCCTGACAGCTGGCTAGCTGGGAAATTTGGGCTTCACCCAGGCATAACTGTAGAGTCTGGGACTCTAGCCTGTGCAGGCCCTGGGCTTGAAGGGATATGCAGAATTGTTTCAAAGGACAGATAGGAGGGGGACTGATCTCCCCAGAGCCTTCCCAGGGGCTCTCAGTGTCCCCTTCCCACTCCATGGCCTCTCTTCTGGCAGCTAGCTGAGCAGGCAAGGCTGGTATTCTTATTTTTTTTCGTATTTTGTTGTTGTTGTTGTTAATTCTTACCTGAAGATATTTTTTCCCATTTTTCAGAGAGTGGAAGGGAGGGAGAGAGAAAAAAACACCGATGTGAGAGAGAGATATCAATTGGTTGCCTCCCGCATGCACCCCACCTGGGGATGCAGAGGGAACCCACAACCCAGATATGTGTGCCCTTGACTGGGAATTGAACCAGAGACCCCTTGGAGCATGGGCCAATGCTCTAACCACTGAGCAACACAAGCCAGGGCAAGGCTGGTGTTCCTGTTCCTATTTCACACAAGAGGAATTGAGGGCGAAGACGGGAAGTGACCCCTCAAGGTCGACAGCTACGAAGCGGCATCCTTCAGCTAGTTTCCAAAAGCTCCATGCATCTGGAATCTCTGCTGAGGCCACTGAAGAGGCCCCTGGTTTTGGTGGAAAGTGCAGCCCGCAGCTCAGCCCGGGGCAGCTTGTAACCGTGGCCTCTCTGCGCCTTTGCTCCCCCCTCTGTGAGCGGGAGCTCATCAGTTTTCTCTTGCTTCTGTAGAACTCCACCACCAGGACCAGGACGCTGCTCAGATTCAGGATCAAGGAGACCGTGTGCCTTTCAGGACAGCGGAGGCAGCCCCAGGAATGCGCCTTCAGGGACGGGGGGGTGAGTCTCCCAGCCCGAGCAGGGGGTCCGCTCTCCTCCAAGGGGGCCATGTTGGCCTCCACCCCCGGCTGCGTGAGGTTTCACTGTAGAAGCCGCCTTCTCTTCCTCTCCTCCTCCTTTCCCCTCCCCTTCCCTCTTTCCTTTTTTTATTTTTCTTTTAAAAATATCTGTATTGATTTCAGAGAGAGGGAGGGAGAGAGAGAGAGAAACATCAATGATGAGAGTCATTGACCGCCGCCTCCTGCGCCCGCCGCTGGGGATCCATCCCGCAGCCCCAGCACGTGCCCTGACCCGAGCCCAACCGTGATCTCCTGGATCCTAGGCCGACGCTCAACCGCTGAGCCACGCCAGCCGGGCCCTCTTGCTGCTTCTTACTATAGATGATTCTCAATCCTTACTATAAAAGCAACACATGCTAAAAATTACTAAATAGCAAAAGAGCAAAGCGGGACCATAATGCACCTAAGATGTGAAATTAGAAAAATAACATTTTACCATAGTAAACTAACAAATTGTGGAGAAACAAAATAAAATCAACTAAAAATCAGCCACTGACGAAAGCGCCCTTTACCCAAGGGGTGCGCATCTGTCCGCCTGCGCCCCTCCCGGGAGGCCTTTCCCGGGCCCTGGGGGAGTCCTCTGCTTGCCGTTCTAGCTTGGGGCGCTGGGGAACATGCGGGGGGGTCGTGGGGAGGCGTGCTCCCGGGGACCCGCCTCCAGCCCCCTGCTTGCCCCGCAGGAGGAGCGGAACTGCACCGGCGCCCTCTTCACGCTGCTGCGCACCCGCATCCTGACGGTGGACTGCAGCCAGGACCCCGAGCGCCAGCAAGAGGTGAGCCATGGCTTCGGTGTGCAGGGCCTCAAGTTTTGTCGTCTGGAGAATGGGGCCGATGGCGCCCTCCTTCATGCAAGTTCTCAGGAAAGGTTTTTTTTTTTCTTTAAATGTCTTTATTGATTTCAGAGAGAGAGGAAGGAAGAGGGGGAGAGAAACATCAATGATGAGACAGTCATTGACCAGCTGCCTCCTGCACACACACCCCCCAATCCAGCCTGCAACCTGGGCATGTGCCCTGACCAAGAAATCGAACCTCGATCTCCTGGATCCTAGGTCGATGCTCAACCGCTGAGCCACAGCAGCTGGGGTTAAGGAAGGATCTTAAGGATGGCGGGTCATTTGGCAGGAGGGGAGGGGAGGGGAGACTGGTAGTCAGGACTACGGGTGCTGGGAGGGGCACTCTGCCTTCTCAGGCAGGACACTGGCTCTGCTCTGGGCCTGAGATGCCTTGGAAACTGACCTTCCTCCCCAGCCCACATTTGGGAAAACTACCACCAGAGGTGGAGCCTCCTGGCCAGTGAGTGGAATAGCCAGGGTGGAGTAAGTCCCAGAGTCCAGGCCCACACAGACCCTCTGGGCTCCAAGGGGAAGGGCCTGACGGGGACCACCTCTAGCCCCATCCCTAACATCCTGTCTGGGCCTCCTCTCTTCATCTGACCTGGAGAGGACCACAGGCAGGACAAGAAGGGGTGTGACAATCGGTGAGCGTGATGCGAGTCACTAAAGCATCACTTCTGCAGGTCTTACGGGAGAAGCGGTCGGCTGAGTCCCCTGAGGCACCCGCTTCGGACACTGACATCTCCAAGCTGCCACCCGTGGCCAGGGACATGTACGAGAAAGCCAAGTACGACATCATCAACAACATCCTGAGGAATTTCTAGGGCTGGAGAAGGAAGGGGAGGCCCAGTATCCTGACCACAGCCTCCTCTTCCCACCCGCCCGCTCCCTCTGCTGCCCTGAGCACCCCCTTTCCTGCATAGCCTGAGCCCAGCCACATTCCTCGGCTTCTGCACACCCGCTTCCCTCTGGCTGGAAGTCCTGCCCAGCCTGTGCCTGTAAATCCTACTCATCACCCTTCAAGGCACAGCTCCAAGGTCACCTCCTCCAGGAAGCCTCCTTGATCTCCCCCAGGCAGCAGTATCCTTCCCTCATCAGAGCATTCAGGATCCTCAAACCATGCTGGCATTACCTGCTGTGCCCCCCGCCAGACAGCGCTGTATGTGCTCCCAGCTGTGCCCTCCAGAGCCAGCTGCAGGTGGCCATGGAACGAGTTTCTCAATGAGGGGCTCCTGGGAGGGCAGTTCCTTTTGTACAGGACCCTGAGCGCCCCTGCTCCTTGCCCAGTCTCTGTGACAATAAATGTTCCTTCACTTATGCAGGCATTTCTAAGGGGGTCAGCCCATCCTCTGGTGAGAGCCACAGGAGAGAGGCTCAGTAAAACATTTCTGAAATAAATTATTAAGTGCACGTGTGAATGAATAAAGTGTTAGAGCTGGGCCGACTGGACTTGGGGTGAGGAGAGAAATGAGGCAGGTCCTGGGGCAATTCCACTGTGCATCCTGAACCCATGGTCCCTGAGGTCAAGACAGGGAGCAAGGAGAAAAACATGGGATGAGGGCGGAGGGCCGCCCTGGAGGTTCCGAAGGCAGAGTGATCGGCCTCAGCCTCCGACTGCTTTAGTTCCTTTATGCTCCTCCTTTATCATGGAGCTCCAGGCAAAACCTCTCCCTGAGCCCAGACTTATGTGTCAGACTGCCTCCTGGAACCCTCCCATGGATGTCCAAAGGGTGTCACACACTCAGTAGCTTCCCTCCAAACTTGCTTTCCTCCAGTCCTGGGTTCCTGAGTGGGAAGGCAGAAGAGAGGCACTGTGAGAATGGGGAAAACTAGGGGTGACCGTGTCTGAGGTTCCACTTTGGACATGGTCCTACTGGGACATATCTGAGTGAGTATGTGAATCGGTGCCGGTCCAGAGATAAGACTCCATCCAAATGCCCTCCTCATGTATGGAAACGGGAGTCTCATGTAGGGAGAGCGCACGGAATGAAAGCAGAGCTCAGGAGTGGGCACTGAGGCCTCTCATATTTGGAAGTTAGTTCGAGGTGGAGGTGGGAGGTACAAGAGTGGATAACAGATGAATTTTGACACAAGAGGTGAGCATCCCCAGACAAGGGGAGGGGAAAATGAGGGGCTTGTCGGGACACAGATCAGGCACTTTGGTAGTTTCAATCCCCCTGGAGGGGCAAGGATTTCCTTAACCACAGAAGTCTAACCCCTTCCAAGAAGCAGGTGCCCGCCCTCAGGGAGCTCCCAGGCAAGTGAAGAAATTGAATTAGAAATTTAAAAATCTTTCCTCCAATAAGAGGCCCAGATGGCTTCACTGGTGAAGCCTATCAGATACTTAAAAATAAAACCAATCCTTCACAAAGTCAGAAAGAGCGTAGTAAGAAACACTTCACTCATTCCATGAGGCCAGCAGTACCAGCCAAAGACATCACAAGAAAAGAAAGTACAGAAAATATCTCCAGTGAACATGGATGCGAAAGTCCTGAACAAAATGTTAGCAAACCACATCCAGCAACATAAAAGGAGTATACACCACGCCCCAGTGGGATGCGCCCCAGGAATACAGTGTTAGACCAACATCTTGAACATCAATTAACGTTACATATCATACTGACAGGCTAACGGGCAAAAACCACGTGATCATGTCAATAGATGCAGTAAAAGTATTTGACAATATCTACCACCCACCCATTCAAGACAAAAACTCAACAAACTAAGGAGTGAAAATTGACTGCCTAACCACTATGCTATACACATGAAACTAATACAAACTAACATTTAAAAGAAGAGAAAAGACACCAGAAAAAAACAAGAAGATACCATGATACATACATCACAGTGGCTAAAATTAAAATGATTATACCAACTGTTGGTGAGGATATGTAGCACACGAACTTCCACATATTGCTCAGAAGAACAGAATGTGGTACAGTAGTTTTGTAAAAACAGTTTGGCATTATCTTTTAAAGCTAAATAAACACTTATGACCCAGCAATTTCTCTCTTACCGAAAATGTATAGCACCAAAAGATACATAATAGAATGTTCATTGCAGCTTTATTCATAATAGCCAAAGACTGGAAAAACTCTAAATGACTATCATCAGTAGCAAGGATAGTCTATAGTAACACAATGGACACTGCACAGCCCACCAATGAACATACTGCTACCCACAATGTGGGTGAATCTCACAAGGCTGAGCAGAAGTCACAGAAGGAGCTACAATGTATAGTAAATTGTACACAAAGTGCAAATTGGCAAAATAATCTGTTGTACCCAAAGGGTAGTAGTTACTTCTAAGGAGGGGGGAGGTGGCACTGATCAGTAGGAGGCAGAAAATGGGAGAGGGGGTGCTCTGGAAAGCTGGGAACATTTCAGTCTGGGTGGCAGATACATGATTGATATGTTCCCTTCGTGGTAATTCATCCAGTGTAATTCTTACCATTGGTATACTTTTCTGTATGTAAAAAAAATCAAGCACTTTTTAATTAAATAAGAATCATTATGTTGCATCACCTGTAACATATAGGAAATCAGGATTTTGTTGACTTTACATCATGGCACATTCATTGTGTATTAATATACCTGTATTAATGTTTTCTCTTAGGCCAGGAAAGTATACATATTGTATTTAGCTTTCCGTTTTATTTGCCATGCAGATTTGAATAGAACAGGCTCTTTAATCATACAAATGATAAGAAATGAAAAACCTGTAAGAATATTCATTAGTCAAAGTTTCTGGGCAATGTACATATATATTTATTTTATTATTATTTTTAATATGTCTTTATTGATTTCAGAGAGAGGAAGGGAGAAGGAGAGAGAGAGAGAAACATCAGTGATGAGAGAGTCATTGATCAGCTGCCTCCTGCACACCCCCGACTGGGGATCAAGCCCACAGCCCGGGCATGTGCCCTGACCGGGAACTGAACCTCGATTTCCTGGATCCTAGACTGATGCCCAACCGCTGAGCAACACCAGCCGGGTTCTCTCTATATATTTTAAAACTTGATTCAGATGTCTCGCTCCTTGAGTCAGCCTTAGATTGCTTATTTTGCTCCACTGTTAAACGCTGTAGGGAATTAAAAGAACTGACCTTATTTGTAGAAGGTGGGTGGCACATAGGAGAATGTACTTCTGAAAGTTCATGAGTTTATTCCTGCGGAGAACACCAAGAAAACTGTAAATAAGAGCTCACCATCTACTGCATAGGATGAGCAAACAGGCCACTGCTCCGGTGAGATAGGGACGAGTGCAGAGGAGGGCACCAGGCCCACCGGAGATGCTGTCCTGCAGGGGTGACACCTAAACTGACACTCTGAAGGGCTGTTTCAGGGAGGCTGAGTGGGAAGAAAGGCCAGGTCACAGTGGCCTTGATGCCATGCTGTGGAGCCTGGGTTTTTATGTTGACGTGTAAACCTAGGAAAGATACATAGGGAACTGAACTCCGTTAAAGAGAAAAACACCTCTCATGAGATGAAATTGGGAGCAGTTAAGTCCAGGAAAATGTCTATGAGAGCCGTACAATTCCCTTATCATTTTTTCGTTGTGTACTATTATCGTCAGCAGCAGTAAAAACACCTTTGGGGTAAAGAGGAGTGGGCTCTGCTGCTAGTGTGAGGGGAGGAGTCCAAAGAACAACAAAAAAGGGAATGCAGGCCAGCAGGCGCGCGCAGCGAGGCTCAGCAGCCCACCCTTCACCCATGGGCTCCTCGGTTTTAGCAAGGGGTGCAGGTTACATGGAGGGCTGCTGGTACTTTGTAGGCATTTGGTCTTTCTCCCATGACACAGAGCCCAAAGATGCCTGTTTTTATAGTCTATACGTGGCTGCTTCTCCTTCCCTTGCTGCCCAAGGTCATCACCGTACTGGGCACCGGACCTCCACACGCTGGGCGCGGAGGCTGGATGATCAGCTACTTCTAAGGTCGAAGACACTGCTCCCCTCAGGCCAACTTGACTGTGACTGTGGAGATCTTGATCTCAGTTCTTGACATACTTACTACCAGTTAGTTGAACCAGGTCTGTTACTCGGCCCTTCTGATGCCGTTTGTTTATGCCAACGTGAGCCACGCTCCCTACTCTGTGGGGACTCCTGACACGAACAGGTGAGAATCCACACACAGAGTGTTTATGTGTGAAACACGTGCTGGTGGGTGTATGTGAGACTGGCATACCCTTCCAAAAACTGAACACATAAAGTTGCCATCAGAGTATAATCATCACCCAATGGAGGAACCTGACCATAAGCTGACTTTTGGGAAAGTATGAATGAAGACTTTCTTAATACCCGCAACTCAGCAACCAAAGTGTAACTTCAGGAAGGCAGATCTGGAATGTGGCTGTACTTGGAGAAGTGAAAATGAAGCAGGAGTCTAGTTCTCACGTGGAAATTTGCCCCCACCAGCCCTAGGGAATCAGTCTCTGGGGAGGGATCTGCGTGTGAATCTGTGGTTTAAGTATTTTCCAGTGAAGTAGGAGAGGGCAAAGGGGAGATAAATGGTGATGGAAGGAGACTTGACTCGGGGTGGTGAACACAATACAATGTGCAGATGATGTACCATGGAATTGTACCCCAGAAACCCATCCAACTTTATTAACCAAAGTCACCCCAATAAATTCAATAAAAATAAATAAAAGAATTTTCCAGTGACTTATATGCACCAAAGTTAAGCACCTCTGGCCTAGAGTGTAAAAAAGAAGCCAGAGGTTTTGGTTCCAGGCAGTCACATTCCACTGGGGGACGCCAGAGTTTGATGGCAGTGAGTGAGAAAAGGGGAAAGCCAAGTGCTCTGGACAGGAGCAAATATGCAATATGCTATTGAAGTCTTTTCCATATTTTCACCAGAACCCATTCTTATAAAATACACATGTCTCTCTCCAAAGACTATGTTTGCTATATCTAGCTTTTTCCTTATTTTCACAGGCATATTTTTACTTTGTTCACTGAACTATTATAAAAATATGATTTACTTCTAATATGTATTTTAAAAATAAATCAGGAAAGGGCAAGGAGATTATTAGAAGTGTACTCTTTATTTCTCTTTGGTTTTTTAACACAAAAGACATGCGTTCTATAAATAAAAGGAAATAAGATTTTTCTGAGAAATAAATTGGGGGGGTAGGGAGGCGCAGAATTTCTACCTACTCACATCTTTGTGGCCAAGTCAAAAGGCTGGTCTTTAGCTCCCATCTTGGCTTTGATCTCAGATAAAACCCACGTGTTGTTTAAGGGGAAATGCCCAAAGACAGAGAAGGTCACAGTCCTCTGCTCAGAGCTGGGTTAGACCCCAGGGCCCACTGAGCACAGTACCTGTCCTACCTCCTTGTCAAACCCTTTCACAATATCCTTGGGTGACTGATGTCTCTTCTTTTCACAGTGCTATTGGAAAGGCGCCAACACCAAGGGGCCAGACCAGCTATTTGCAAACATTCACCACCAGCCCGAGGGACTGACTGAGGGTAAACCGTTGGTGTTTATGCACTTGTGCTCAGAACCCAGATCCAGGCACTGGGTTCCTTACTTGGAAATGCTCTCAGGTGCAGCAGTGTAACTTTCACACCAGGAGGCGAGAGTGGACTTGGGAAGGCCATGACCAGAGCAGCAGATCACAGGAAACGACCTACCATCCCCAATGGCAGAATCTGGGCCAGCATCCTGAGGACCTGGCGAGGACCTCTCTCTAGCCCACTTACTGCTCCTTAACACCTTCCCAATCCAGGATCGGCAGTGCTGTTTCAGATTCACAGAAAGTGTCTTAATAAAATAAGATGAGCACTGATACACTCCTCTACCAGGAAGTACAGACCCAGCCTCCTCCAAGTCGGCCTCTGTAGGCAAACCGAGGGAGTGAGGAATGTCAGAGCTCAGGCTAAACTCCATCAGACTGCTGAGTCATTTAAAAAAACATCATTTTCAAGTGCTTGGAACAGAGGCCCAGCGCCTAAGTGGCAGGTAACAAAGGTACTTCCCTCTGGATACATGGCGATTGCACACCCTGGTAAACCTCATGGTCCTAGGGAGGAAGACGTCTCAAGCTCCACATTGTGCCTTTCTGAACAGGCTTCCAGGCCACCAGAGGCAGCAACAGACAGGAGACCACCCAGGTGGAGACGCAGACCCTAAGACCCAGTCTTGCATTAAAATAACTGTCCCGTCAGTCTTCCTGGAAGCACTGTCGAACACCAGATTTTGGCAGCAGCAGTTGAAGGACAGCCCCACTGACCAGTGCACTGGTAGCACAGGTGTCCTCCTGTTCGGATCCTGCTGTGCTATGTGAAGGTCCCATCCAGGGAGGAGAATGAAGGAGCATGGAGTGTCTGCAAGAGGTCATTTGCTAAGATCAGAGGAAGAAATATAAAATCTGTTCTTTGCAGCAGCAAGAGATTCCTTCAGCCATTAGCTCTTTATACCATAAAGCCAGCTTTGCTTGAATGTGAAGGCCCACCTTGCTGATCAGCCTGCCAAGGGCTGGAGGGAGTCCAGGCCCCTGGAACTGGCGAGTGGATGGAGGACATTGGACTGGCAGGATAGACAAGGGACCAAGCCAGCCCCAAGAGCATCACAATGAGCACAGGTATCTAAGAATGATAAATGGGCGAGAGTCCGGCCAGATCTACTGTTTCCTGCTGGTAGAATAAGAAAGGAAGGGACATAGGGGTGGGGGGTCAGAATGGGAGCCATGGTGGCAGTGGGAGGTAACCACAGGGGTACCTGGAGCCTCCAGCGACCAGCTGGGAGCTCCCACCTAGAAGAGCGTCAGTAATTCAGCCGACTCACTAAGCCTATGATTAAAAAAGTCCTCTGATGATGGGTGTGAAGACAAACCCAATGAGCACCTTGCTACAGGACCAGTGGAGTGCGCTGATTCCAGACATGCTAGGGCTCAGAGGGAACCCCAAGTGCTACGCGAGGCCTCAGGACCCTAGGATCCGAATGTGGGCGCGGTCACCGCCCTTTACATGTTGGGTGGTTTTCTCTTTAAACACATTATTTCTCTTTAGTATCTTTTTTTACAAGTGTTTTCTTCTTGCAAAAATTGTTTACTTAAAAAAGTATTTATTTCCAGTTTCTTTCAAGTGTTTCTTCAAATTCCCTCAGTTTCTTTCAAGTATCTTTTTTTCTTCTGTTTCTCCTGAACAAGATGTAAAAGACCCCACTGAAATCCCAAAATCAGACATAGCAAAATTCTGTTCTCCCTGCTTATCCAGCAATGAGGACCAACGCCTCTGTGCCCTCGGATGGAAGGAGGAGCTTGTGTGCAACCAAGCACCTTGCTGGGGCCGCATCATCGCAGGCAGTCAGAACACTTGGAGCGTGTCATCCTCTCCCAGCCACACTCATTTCCAACAGGGTTGGCCACTGCAGCTGCCCCATCACAGACTGGCCACTACATGGCTGGAAAACGGCAGGCGAGGAGTGTCAGATGGAAGGCCATCTGCCAGGGCAGCCCAGAGCTGTGGCAGGTGGGAGCTGGGCTTCGATGGAGCCTGTGTATGTGTGGACCAACAAAGCAGTCACGTGTCACCAGCTGCGGGACCTAGAGGGGCTTCTGTCCCATGCTGTGCATCTAGATGACCTAGACCTGACGGTCACAAGAGCAGCACAGTGAGGGAGAACTTGAGCACCTGGAAAAACTGTACCTCTGGCGAGCTCACATTTCACCCTGTCTTCTGGTCCACCACCTCTCCCAAGAGGGACTGTCCCCGGAAGGAAGTGCCTGTGTTTGTACCTGATCCCTACCCCACCACATCCCATCCTCTGCCTTAGATGGTGAGGAGAGGAATGCAGCCCACACCGACCCCTCCCTCATGACACGCCATGGGGGCCATAAAAGTCCAACAGTCCGTCTCTGGGTCGTACATCTCCACTGAGCTGAGGTTCGACTGTCCATCATAGCCCCCCACAGCATAGAGGCGCCCACAGCTGGCCACCAGGGAGACGCGACTCCGGCGTGTGTGCATGGGGACGATCAGGCACCACTGGTCTGCTACAGAGCTGTACATCTCGGCGATGCTGAGGAAGCCAGAGCCGTCATAGCCCCCGCAGACAAACATCTTGCTGCCCAGAGAGGCAGCTCCGTGCCGGCAGCGCTTGTTGAGCATGCCAGCGGCTGGGTGCCAGGTGGCCGTGTGGTGATTGTAGTGCTCCACCTTCAGGAGGGAAAGAGGCACAGGCACGGGAGTCAGAGCCAAGGCTCTGTCCATGGGTGGCCACGCGGGCACAATGGCCCACAGTGTCAGGGTGTCAGATGCCAGTGGGCAGCCCAGGGATGGAGAGCTCTGCCCGCATGTGCTCTGGCTCTGAAGCTGTTCCCTCAGTGGCACACCTGCTCTTGGGTTTACAGGGACAGGTGAAAGAGTCTAGTCTCACCCCTTCAGCTTGAATTTAAGGAACCAAAGGAAGGGCTTGCCCAAGGCTGCTCTGCTGTGTACTGACGGCCAGATGAGGGCAGGTCCCCTGAAATGGGTCCAGGGTGTGTGCCACCACAGCACTGATGGACTCTAGGGACCCAACCTCCAGTAAAGGGCTGATGAGGTTTTATTTCAAACCAACTATGCAGAAGAATACAGCTCTCTGCAGTCACACTCTATAATTGGCCTTACTTTGGGCAGAACTCGCACCAGGTCTCATGCAGCATTAGATGCAGAACTAAACGGGCTGGGGCAGGGTGGCTACACTCTGCCTCCCTAATGCACACTGGCTTCCATGCTCACAAGAATTTCAGAGCTCGCGGTCGATGGCCCAAAACCTCATTAGGTTTGATGCCTTACCCAGCAACGGGAAGGCTAAAGTTTTTTCCAGAGAATTGCCTTTTTGAGTAGCTCTCAAAGAAAAAAGTTCCCTTAGCCCAGGAGCAGCCCAGACTCACACTGTTGAAGATCTGCAGACCGTCGTGGCCGCCAGACACATATATCCTGCCCTCAAAGACTGTGACCCCAGCAGCACTGCGATTTGAGCTCATCGGGGTCACCACTGTCCACCTTCAGGAAAGAGCCAAAGGAGAAGGGGAACCATGAGATCCGGTGTCCCTGTCCTCCCAAGGCAGCTTATAAAGGTTTGGGAGCACTATGCTGTGCTCCCCCTCGCCCTGCGCCATCTCCCTACCTCAATCACCTCCCACCACCTGCGGGCAGCTTTCTCTAGCTGCAGCCTCTCCCTCAGCTTCAGACCCACAGCTGCTCTTCTACAAGGCCTCTTACAGATCTGGCCCTCCCCCATCTTGTTAAAGGGACCACCAGCTACCTAGTTGCCATACTTGTAAACTTGGCATTTTTATGGCCTCTTTTCCCTCATCCTCAACATTCTTGTGGTTGCCAATTCCCCGCTGGTTTGCCTACTAGTCATTGCTTGTCCCATCCCCTGGCTCTGGCCTCTCACCTGAACCACTGAAACAGCCCCCTTACAGGTGGCCTGGTGTTCAAACCATTCCCATTTGGACCCTGAGCAGCACACCCCTCCAGTGGATCCTCACTGATTCCCCTAAGACAGAGTTCAAGTTCCCTAATGTGGTTCTCTACCATTTGATCCTGGTCTACTCGCCAACTTCATGCCCTGCCACACACCAGCTACATCTGTTCCCCAAGCACACAGGACATTGTCTTATTTCCAAACTCTCTTCTTGCTGCCTAAATGAGCATCACCCACTATCCATCATGGGTCTAATCCTGCCTCTCCCCAACCGTGGGGAAGATGAAGGCATTTCCCATGCTATGCAGAAGAGCGCCAGACACAGGTCCCCAGGGTAGGACAACTGTAATGTGCCGGTGGCCCAATAGACTGGGTGCTACTTAACAATCTTAGACACCCTACTTGCTGCCTAATACATAATAAATTGGCTAAATGAATGGAATTTTGGCTTAGAAGCACTCTGATGAATCCATTCTACTAATGTGCTAATATTTGGTTACATAACATGAGAAAATTAAAATACTAAAATGAGAAATTTGGGCTAACCTTATTTTCCAAAGAGTGTTCCACAAAATAATTCCATAAGATGGGCTAGGTGTTATATAAGATGAGGTTATATAAGCTGTGGATTCAGTCTTTAAAATGTTAATGTTGCATTATGGAAAGATAAGGACTCTGGTGGTACAGACATCAATGTTTCCAACTCATCTGACCACTTAACTTTATTTCCCCAAATCATAGCTTACCTGCTTCAGAAAGTGCAGTTCATCCATTCCTATCCTTTCCCCTGCGTTCCATTGCAGTGGGCTGATGGAGCTGTTTCCAGTGTCTACGCTGACTACTTATTTTTAAAATTTATTTAATCACTCATTCATTTAACCAAAGGTTATTAAATGCCTAGAATATGCAAGGTACTACAGGGGCTAAAAAGGTAAGATGTGCTCCATCCTCAAGACGCCTGATTTAAAAACTGCAGTTTTAACTTTTTACCCTCTGTTTAGCAAGCCCCAGGTGCGCCGGGGGAGACGGAGTCCTTACTTGTCTGTCTCAGGTGAGTAGGTCTCCACGGAGTTGAGAGAAGAGTTGCCATCATAGCCCCCGCAGACGTAGATCTGCCCGTCCAGCACGACCGTCCCCATGGCACTGAAATAGACAGAGCTGTCATCCCAGTTGGGCCTCAGGCTCCTGGGCAACCTTCATGTTCACTGAGAAATAAACAACCACCAACTGCCTCTTCCTAGGACAGACCTAAATCCCAGTATGTGGTTAAGTAAAGGTGTAAAATCGAGGGGAAGGAAGCTGTCTACGGTTCCTCTTGTCTCTCATCCCAACTGGTTTTCCTCCCCTCCCCACTCTTCTCAGTCCTTGATTTGTTTCATACACTTATTCTCCACCTTGCTGTGCTCATGGTCTAATTTACCTTTAAGGCCCTGATCAAATTCTTCGCTCTCCTCCGCAAAAAGCCACCTTGATCCCTCAGCAAGAAATTACTCTCCTAGCCCACCCTTCATTGGCATGAGCCTGACTGTTCCATGTGGTGCCTTGTAAACACAGGCCCTCAACATATGTTTGGTATGTTACTGTGATTCTCCCACTCAATTCACTAGGAAGCTCAACAACTATCTTTTTATTACATACACAGCCCTGCATGGCCCTAAGTTGTCGCAGTGGGTGATGTAACAGCTCCTCTAGTTGCACACTTACTACACATGTCAGGTGCTCTACGCTTACTACTTTCCACCCTCACCAGACCCTACTAGGAGGCAGCACCATCATCACTGTACCAACGGGCTGGGCTCCTCTTCCTAGCTGTCCCAAGAAAGGCAAGCTCAGACTTAAATGAGACAGGCCCCACTCCCATGCTGGTCACCCTGCCAGGCTCTCCTAACACTAAAGACCCCGGGGGTCTGGCATAACCATGTAATCATCTGCTCCACACAAAGCCTCAGGAGAAATGAAACATGAATGCCAAGCTGCCCAATTCAGTTTTCAAACCTGAGGCTGGAAAAGACTGTAAATAAATCTGCGAGTCTAACAAATGGAAAATTAAATATACCAGGCTTATAACCCCCTTTCAAATGTACATAGCAAATCACACTTATCCACATATGTCCCTCTGGGGGCATGGTAACAGACCCCCTGAACAGCCTGAAAAAGGAAAAGGACTTGCCTTAGGCAAGGACTGTGGGACGACCACAAATTCACTAGACCTGTCACTCTGCTTTTAGAACAGACATGGGTAACAACATGGAAGTTCAACAAAAATATGGGAAAGAGTAAGAGGTGCCAGACAACTATGTGAGGTTAGCTATTAGACAAGTGGTCAGTACGAGTATGGAGAGGAGGGGAAATGCTGATCGGTGTGGCAGGGACTCATCCATGAGAGGAAGCTCCCTGGAAGCAGCCTGGACCACTGGAGGAGGGGGAAGGAATGACGGCAGAAAGGAGCTTGTCACCAGTTGGCAGGACAAAGCTGTGTGAGATGTCAGGAGGGAAGCGACCAAGAACATTTTAAGGTAGCCTGTAATTTTTTAAAAAAATATGTTTTTATTGATTTCAGAGAGAGGCAGCCTGTAATTTAAAGGGGATGAAATGGAGCTGGACCCACGCTACTAATAACAGGGCATTAACCACAGCAAGGGAAAGGAACACCCAGAGGACTTTCCTCCCAGACAACTCTCTAAACCCAGTGACATTAAAGCCAGGAAGTAGCCCAGAGCAGACAAACAAGGAAGAAATGACTGCAGTCAAAGCAAAAACGGCAGCCATGGCTGGGATATGGAGCAATGAGTCATTCAAGGCCACAAAAAGCTGCAAAGTATCCAAGCTGTGCAGAGGGGAAGGCTCGAGGTGGAGATGGGGGAAAGAACCATGAGAGCATTCGCTTAGCTCACCGCCTCGGGAGGAGCAGATCTTACATACATATTTTTTCCTTCCAAACAAACCTGCCGTGACCCTTTGTGAATCTGGTCTTATTGGTACAAAGGCAGATCCCTCTGGCTCAAGGCCACATACAAACATGAACACCGACAAAGATGGAATGTGTGTCACGGCCGTGATACTTTCACGTGGCAAAGGACTTCCACACTGACTCTTGTTCTTCAACACACATGCAGTCACTTGACCTTTGTGTGGTCACATGATCTCACAAGTAGAGAACCCAAAACATGGCCAGAGAGAGCAGACTGAGGGAAATACTTAGGCCCTTAAAGAGCAACTGGTCCAGGATTTTCAAACTGCCCCTTTTGAGAAAAATTCATCCAACTTTTCTCCCCTAAGGTTGGGCACAGGTCACAGGGCGCAGCATGTGAAAGCAATAAACTAAGAGCCGTTCTGGTGAAATGGGGAGGGGCCCTGGCCTGCTTTCCTCTCCTGCAGTCCAAGAAGAGAAACATCGGGGTCCATTTGAAACCACTGAGCCGGTGTGGCCTTACCAAGGGCAGAGTGAAGAACCTGTCCAGTTCTACTCTCCCACTCTAATGCTCCTACTGCCCAAGCACATAGATACTCCACACACATCTGACGCAAGAAAAGATGCCACCTGTCACTTAGGCACTAAAAAGGCTAAACGGGGCACTATTTGGCTGTCCTGTAATCCTACTTCTTATCAGGAGATGTGAGCAAGCAAGCAGTGATGGAGGGGTGTGTTAAAAGACATGTAAACTTGGTGCACCTCACCAACACCTGTGTGCTCATGCCTGGGGGCATGGTCCTGAAGTAAAGAACACTGCTATGGTTCATATGCTCCCCGGGCAGTGAAAGCACATGCCTAGCAGGGATCCTGGAGGAAAGAAAGTATAAAGGAAAACATCTTGGTTTTCCTCTTATCACTCCTTATCCTTCGAATTTTAGCTTTAATAACACCTCTTCCCCAAAATCTTCCAGATGGTCCAGTCTAGCTTCTCTCCCTCATTGAATCTTCCATAATACACATTTTCAGGCCTTATCTGGCACTTAAATAACAATACAACTTCCATGTGTCCATGACTCATCTCCCTGAGTTCCTCGAAGGACCAGGCAGTATTTTACTTTAAGCAGATGGGGGCTTGCTCCCATCTGGAGGAACTGGCAGTGGCTGGCCTGACTGCAGGAAATTCCCAGGCCAGAACTCGTGCTTTATTTCACTATGTACCCCTGCTTGTCTAGCATGGCGCTCTCCAGATGCATAGTGTGTACGATCGGACTGCACAAATGGCTTCCAGAATACCTTCTCTTGCTGTTCATGCTCCCGACTCGGGTCCATGTGTCTGTCTCTGGGTTATAGACCTCCACAGTGCTCAGCCGCAGCTGGCCGTCGTATCCCCCGATGGCATAGAGAAGCCCGTTCACTACAGCCACACCGACGCGGCTGCGGGCTGTCGTCATGGGATGGCACTTCTCCCAGTGATTGGCGATGGGGTCGAACACTTCCACCACATTCAGGGAATCACCTGCATAAAAATTTGCTACTCAAATTTAAACAAATGAGACCACTCGTTTAGATCACAGCTGTTGGGTAGTGATTATATGGAATGTTTCACTTGATTCTATCAGCTCTTCCTGCAGGATTTCTCAAGCCAGAAGGGCCCACTAAGAAATTTCAGGCTTGATGATCTCAAACCTAATTCTTGAAGGAAAATCAGAATCAGATGGGAGGCATTTACTTTCTAGAGAGGGAAATTTAAGTTGCTAAAAGCCAAAGATGAAGGCAGGTGGATACACTCTTTCCTCAATGCAGGAGGCATGCCCAAGGGAAGGGTGTGGGCTCCAATGCCCACTTTCACTTGCTAGCCCTTGACCCTGGGCAAGTTGCTTTGTGTCTCCATCCTTTGCTCTCACAGGTAAAATGAAGATAATCTCTATGGCGAGTTGTCGTGAGGATCGGTGATACAATATGTAAACCACCTAGCATGGTTCTAGAATACTAAGTGCTCAGTAACAAGGAATGGTCATTCCAACCCTAACTTTTCATCAGGTTTTTGTGAGGATCAAATAAAAGACTTCCCCTTCGTTTTATTCTGCTTGGGGGCACTTAGCAACTGCCACACTACAGGTTACTAGTTGAGGACTTAGACATCATAGACCAGTACCCAGCTCTGATTAACTTTCAATTAAAAACAAAACTGCCAGGACTGCCCACCAACTCCCCACCTCCCACAAACCTGGACTGACACTGTGATAAGGCCTGGCCTCCACACCGGAGACAACAACTCCCTGTGCCACTGTACTGCCAGGAGTCAGTGTCCATATTGCCCTCTTTGCTGAATCTCTACTGCCCTGCAATGGTGCCTGGGCTCAGGAGGGCAGGGGGCTCCACGGAGCTTTCCTGAAAACTTGACTGTATGACACAAGAGCTGCCAATAGCACCCGGACTGTAGAGTGTTTGTGTACCACAGGAGCTAAGAGATAAAGAGTAATAAGTATTGCTGATAGTGGCAGACACTGTATTGGAGAATCATCCTTCTTATGGTGACATTCTCGCAGTGTATCCCCAGGGACCCATATGACCAAATGTGATCAGCCTGAAAGAGAACTGGGTCTCTGACTCTATCCTGTCCAGGGCTGAGCCCATCCCCTAGCCAATGTGATATCAGGGAGAGTGCTGGCTCAGGAGCCAGGACCCAAGTCCCAGTCCTTTGGGCCTCAATTTCCCCATGTGTAAGGTAAGGGGCTAGGCCCCAAGGATCTCTATTGGAGATCTTTAGCTCCAATATTCTGATTCAATGGTATTAATACCTGACATGCTCTAACTCCAGAACAATTAAATAAAACTGAGATGGGCAAGAGAGAGTGACAGAGAGGAGAGGAGCGAGAGGGCCAGGCTAGGCTGTTCAGTGCTTCCTCATGTACAGAGTTCAAGACAGGGCTCTGCAAAGGGGGAGCTGCAAGATACCTGCTGAGTTGAGGCCTCCCACGGCATAGATGAGCCCAGTGATGGATGTGCAGCAGCGAGGCCGAGTTCGGAAAGCCGGCAGATGAGGCCGGCGCTCTGGCATGAGGTGATAGTCCTTTGCTTCATCTACCAGGTCCCTGGAATAAGGTATAAAATGCTAGGACAGGAGGCACCCCCCCAATGTGGCCCGCAATGTATTTCCAAGCCTGGCCCCCCCACCTCCAACTGCAGGGGAACCTGGGAAGAGAAGCCTTCTGGAAGGTCTGGTCTCAAAGAACCCAGCTGAATCCAGGAGAAACCACACATAGCTACTGAGACATGCTCAAAATTGGGGAAACAAGATGAGCTGAGCCCACGTTGGCTAATGGAATCAGAATGAATATCTTCTAATAGGCACACGCCTGGCAGGAGAAAAACAGGGTGGTGGCTAAAACAGCTGGCCCTAGGGAGGTTCCACCAGCAGCCTGCACCCACCACCACTCAGGCCCCGCTCTTCCTTCCCACCCCTATGGCTCCCACCCTGCAATTAACCACCTCTCACCTGGACTGTGGCAAAAGAAGCCAACAGCTGCTGTTCAAGTCCCCTGCCTCCAGCCCCACCCCTCCATTCCAGCCTTCACACTGCAGGCCAAGCTGTTTTCCTAAGAGCCTTTGATGGCTCCCCACTGTCTACAGAATACAGTTCAAACTCAGCAGCACCCTTGAGACTGCGTGTCACGGGGTCCCAGCTACCTCCAGGCACGCCTCCACCCCTAGCTGACACAGCTTCACCGCGCTTGTGCCAGGCACCGACTTCCTCTAGGCCCAGCTGTGAGCATGATGAGCAACGTGAAGGAGGGTAAACATTCCTCCGAGGCTCTTTTATAACCGCCCCAAGAGCTGCCATCTTCTGAGCTGTCTGGTAGCTCTGTTGGCCATGTTGTGACTTACTCTGGGTGAAAGTTCCATGTGCTGGTACACATGCCCCCTCCTGCCCATCACTGTAGATGCAGCCCCAAACCGCCTGAGAAGAGAGCACTGACCAGCATTTACTGAAGAGGGGGAGGCGCCCCAGGAAGTCACTGCTAAGTCAGCAGGTGGTGTGGATAAGGTCAGAGCAGCCAGTATAGATGTGTAGGTTCACAAATAGCTCCATGGATGCAGATGCTACAAGATCCTCAGAACTCAGGGGAGGAAGCCCCTTCTGCTGTGATCCAAATCCCTCTCCCAAGTGGCCAAGTTCTCTTCTCTGCCCAGACCCTCAGCAGCATCCTGTGCAGGCCCACCCTTGCTCACCTGCATTTGTGGCAGCAACGCACCAGGTCATCCTGCTGCACCCGATCTGACAGGAACTGGGGCCGGCAGAGGGGTAGACGGATATTGGACAGCAGCTCAGGCAGGTAGGACCCCCTTTGCTCCCGGTCGTATCTAACCCAGGCCAAAGCGGCTTCAAAGACCTGCCATGACAGAGAGTGGAAGCTCTGGCGGCAACTCTTCCCAGTCAGAGGCCACATCCCCGAGCCCCCCCAACCTAAGGCCCTCCACTCCCTCTACTGAGGCAATTCCTGGGTCATTCAATCTTTCCTACTTGTCTCCTGAATCCCATGTTTTCTCTCTACTTCCCCAGCTACCCCATTTGGTCCAATCTCTAAAGGCAAGCCTAGGTTGCTGTAACAGTTCTGGCTTTTGTTAGGACTTTCTAATGAAAACCAGGCAATGGGCCCCTATACCCTTCTGCATCACAACAAAATCCCTGTTTACCTTCCTTCCTGCTGTTCCTGCACCCTGCTCCTAAATCCCCTCCATCACCCTCCATCAGGCTGGCTGATTCTCCTATTCACACTGTCCCCTTCACCTAGAATGCCCCCTTACCTTCTCTTCATCTAAACCCATTTCCCTTACTTTAAGGTCTGGCTCAAGACTCATGTTCTCAAGAAGCCTTCCCTAATGGCTCCAGCCACAGGATATCTCTCTAAAACCCTCCAACCCTTAGAGAAGTATCACTCCAATAAACATGAGCTACTGGGTCATATTCCTTGCTCTTAGGATGAGCAAGTGCCCGCACTGCTGAGCTCACGATCCACTTTTCTACTGCTCACTAATATTCAGGGGTGTAGGCTCCAAGGAAATGAGCTGAGTTGGGACTAACATCCCAACGGCTTGCCTCCTGGGGTTGGGGCTCCTCCTGCTGAAGCACCGCTTCATGACAGGCCAGGAATGTTGATTTCAAATATCCCAGTCCTGCCATAAGACTGGTTAGACTTCCCAAATGACCAAATGGGCAGAGGCCTTGTTGCAGTGCTGCTCCCAATGCCTGCAGGGCTAGGTCCACATTTTCATCCCTGCATTCAACACCCTTCATTGCCCAGCCCTCACCACCCTCTGCTCAAAGTAACATTTACTTACCATTCTTTTAAGACAACTTGCACCACATCTTTGTTGAACAGAAAGGATTGCCCTTGGTCCTCTCTGGCTAACACCCTACATTCTCATTTAGGCTTTTCCTGAGCACCCCAGATGATGTTTCCTTTGTCCTCAGAGGACCCTAGGACCACTCACACCTCGCTTTGCCAATAGCTTTACCTCTTCCAGAGGTTTAAGTATGCTAGTACCTGACCACCACCTCCGATTCTTGCGGCTCAGTAACGGACGCCAATGAGCCTCTGACAGGGCTCCTCCTCCGTCACCTCCCTCTCAGGTCTCCGCCCGCCCCCAGCCTATTAGCTCACTCACCTCTTGCTTGCCCATGGGCTCCACGGGTTATTACGCAGGTGCCCTCAATTCCCATGCTATGCCCTATCCCGTCACCACACTAGCCTGGGGGAAAATCTCACTCTGGTGAAGCCCACCTCTTTGAATTCACCTCACCCCCTACTCTGCATCTGCACTGGCACATGTGGCTGACAGAAAATGCACAACAGAGCCAACCACTTTGCTTTAAATTTGTGACTGCTAATCTCGCCAGGCCCTGCGCCCTCTCAAGCCCTCTCCACTTCCCTAGCATCCTCCACTCACTCTCCCCCTCTCCTAGAAGCCGAATTCATACCTAGTCATCTCTCAGGTCTCTAATGCGCCTTCATCCTCACTCTCAGCTGGAACAAGCCAGAAGAGGTGAGAGGAATCTACGAGCATCTCCCTTCCCACCCCACCCCTCCCCCTGCATCTGGGTGTGCACTGAACGCCTGTGCTCCTAGCACATACACACCCCTAGTGCCCCAGATACGTCCCTTCTCTGGAAAATTCCCATCAGCAGTCAAATTGCAGTGTCATTTCTCTCATTTTAACAAAACAAGCCCCTCTTGACTTCATGCTTCCCACCAGCAACTGCCTCAAGGCTCTGCTCTGCTTTAGAAAAAGACTCTTTCAGAAAGCTACCTGTACTTACTTCCAGTTCACCACTGCGCTATTTCTACTAGTAAATACTGGAAATAACCCGAACATCCAAGAATAAGGGAAGCAGGGTTGGTGAAATCAATGGAATATCATTTAGACACAAAAATGTATGAAGTTTTCATGAAAAATGCACATATATAATAAAACAAACCCATAATAATCAACAGCTGCATACACAGCATGATCTTCATTTTGTTAAAAAAAAGAAAAGAAAGTGAAGCTTAGAAAGGCAGCAGCCCCTCCATCATGGGCAGACCGCCACTGTGCCCTACAGACCTGCTCCTCGGATTTGACATTCAGCTCGTCCCGAGACACCAGCTCAAGCACATCTTCTAAGGGCAGGGCCAGGAATTCCTCCGACATGGACACCTCCACAAAGTGCTGGTGGATGAAGCTGTTGGCTGCATCATACAGCACAGCGCACATCATTGTCTCAGCAAACTGGCGCACACCCAGGCAATTTTTGGGGTGAAGCCTATTGCATAAGAAAAAAATGGGGAAAAAATTTAGAGGAAGAAAGAAGATTATCTTCCATCATTCTCAGGTTGGTTCTGGGTACGGCCACAGAACAACAACAAAATGCCCTACAAACTCTGTCCTCAGCTTTGGAGAAACTCCCTGTGTGACATTGGGTGCATCTCTCGGACTCAACTTGTAAAGGTATAAAATTAAGACAGACTATCCTCACAGGTTCTGCCTTGTGGGCCTGGTGTTCTGTGTGCCTGGGTGGGATGCGCTCTCTGGGAAGCCCTGGGAAGCAGCTCCCAGAAGAGAAGAAAAGCAAACACTTACTGGAAAACCTGCCTGCTTTCCTTTGGCTGCCAACATCCTTGGTTGAGTGCCCACCTCTGGTCACCAGGAAGGCACTGAAGGTATAGAATGGGAGCTTAAACCCAGAGGAGAGATGATTCTCTAACATGGGGACCCTTATACTTTTTTCTATTTTCACACAGAAAGAGGCTCTAGAGGTCTAATTGTTTAGACATCCAGAAACAACTTCCAGGCACTATCACTTATTTTGTACCCTCAGTGAGTCAAGTACTTTGCCAGGCCTTGTACACACATTCTCCAGAATCTTTTTAACAACACTGCAAAGTTGTTGTTAGATGGAAAACTGAGGCTCTGAGAAACTAAGAAGGAAGTATCATTGGGGCATGGTAAACTGCACTGGTCTAAAAATCCTTTTCTAATCATCTTTTAGGTGACACTACTTTGTAACAGAGACTGGATCCAGTGTTTACAGTGATGACCTCTAAAGCCTCTAGGTGGAGCTGTTATCCCCTGTGAGAGTAGCCAACTTAATCCTTTCCAGAATGCCTACTTAATCATTCTCCAAATTCTTGGGAATATAAAGATAAACTAAGTCCAGTCTGTCTCCTTAAGAAGCTTACAAATGAGTAGGAAAAACGGTTTATGCCCCACACCTCCACGTGCATCCCTCCAGCCTGCCCCAGAAGGCATCCCAGGGCAGGGTCATGCCAGGCTCTGGGACTATGAGCGCTCCATCTGCAAAACCCGGAAGAGGACCACTTATCTCACAATGAAACCACTCACTCCACACCCAGGAGAGGACCCCCCTGCATGTTGGGCATCATTAACACGGTTATTAGGACTAGCTGCACACACAGCAGTGCTCAGTGACGTCCATGAGCACCACACGGGCAGGATGTGGAGAGCAGGCAGTGTGCACAGAGCTGCTAAGTGAATTGGATTGCTGGAGCGGGAGAGGGAGAGGACAGCTCTGAGAGGAGATGAGGTTCAGGAGGGCAGGAATGCTGGTCTTCAGGCCAGAGACCTGGTGGTCAGATTACTTAGGTGGAGACCAGGCCTTGGAGAGCACCACAGACATAGTGCTCGCTGTTCTGGTTTCTCCCTGCATGTGTGGAGCCCAGCACTAGTCCTCATGTCCAAGCCTCTAGTGGTTAAAAGGTGGCTTTTACTTTAGGACTAAGAGCTCTGCCTGTCTCTAGAGGGGGAGGAAAAGCCTTATCTGCTCAGTCATCTAAAGGTCACGTTAAGTGCTGGACACAGGTAGAGGTAAATCCGTGGTCGTTACCCTAAAAGAGCATACAATGACTGCTCCCAGGGGGCTTGAGGGGACAGAGAGTCCCAGGAGGTAAAATCTGGGTGGACTCTTAAACAGTTAAAGGAAAACAAAGATCAAGAAATAGCAGGAGGGGGAAGAATCTAAACAAAGAAGGAGATGTCTGTGGAACAGTTAGGAAGCACTGAATCAATCAGTTCAGTGGGAACAGTCAGCTAAATAAGCAGCTAGTCAGATTGGAGAGAGAGGACCAGAAGAAGAGGTACAAGGGAGAGTGCAGTCAGGGGTTCATAAATCACGTTCCTCAAAGGTTCAACCCAAGGGACTGGGCACTGCCTGATACTGGTTTCAGGAAAGGTCATTTCTGCAGAGTACCTTCCCAGCTCATTCCCTTCATAACACTAAGTGCCCCAATGACTCAGAAAATTGGCAGGGGTTCCAGAAATGAAATGGCCATGCTCCTCACCACAGGCCAGGCCCACCACACCACATCACCTCACCGTTCTCGGAGGAATGTGCAGCAGGCATCTTTGATGCTCTGCAGCTGCAGGAAGCTCGCCCCCATCAGTAGTGACTGGACATTTTGCTGGTCAATGGCAAGGTGGCCGTTGTAGGCAAAGTTGATGAGAGCCTCCAGGGCGCTACAGGAAAGAGAAAGGAGCTCTTTAGAGATGGGTTTGGCCCACAGGAGACTCAGGCCCTAAGTGAGCTGACATTCCTACCTGGGGAATAGATGGGCCCCACTCTAAAATCCATTTCATCCGTGCCCTTTGAGAACCTATCTGAATGGAATAATTACTTCACCACAGCCAGACTCATTCTACTTCTTGTCTTTATTGCCCAAATAATTTTGTAACAGAAAATTCTAAAAAGAAAGCAATTACTCACAATATCACTAATGAACAAGTCAATGGTGGTCATTTTTTTAGGTTCATTTTCAGTCCCTATTTGCTTCCATGCATAAACTGTATAAATATAAATAATAGTTATGAGGCCCTTTACCATGATGCTACACTGCCTTCATGTTTATTGTTTTTAGTGGCTGCTATACAGTATTTCAGCATGTGCTCATTTCCTTTACTGCTAAGCATAATAGCTAGTACCATCTTACTGCCATTATAAATAATGGTTTTGGATTATTATTTCTTTGCGATAAATTTCCAGAATGAGATTTCCAATATTTTTTTCTCCCAATTCATACTGACAGTGAAATCCAAACTCTGTCTATAGGGCTGTATGTGGTCTGGCTCCTCTCCATCTCTGACCGTATCAACTTCCACTTTGTCACCCTCTCACTCTATCCCAACATGCTGAACACACTCTCACCTCAGGGCCTTTGCACTGGCTGCTCCCTTTGGTTGGAGGGCTCTCCCCCAGATGGCTTACTCCCTCATTTCAATTAAGGTCTTGGCTCAAACGTCACCTCATCACAGAGGCCTTCCCTGGTCACCCTGAAATAGCACAGACCCCACCACCACCACCATCATTCACTAGCCTTTACTCTGCTTTACTTTTCTGACATCACTTTCACTTCCCAGCCATATCATGTGTGAATCTGTTTATTGCCATATCCCCACTACTAGAAGTTGGCACAATAGGGGTGGTTTCTGCTTTATACCTCAGTGCCAGCCTCAGCACACATCACAGGTGCTCGGTCTACCTCTGTTAAAGGAAGCACCTAGACTGTGCATGGTGATCAGCTCAGCCTTCAGACACAGACCTCAGAGAAGAGTGTACATTGACTGCCCCTGAGACCCACTTCTGTGCCTTTCGTTATAACTACCTGGCCTGAGATGTCTGCCTTGCAGTGGGTAATATAAATCCTCTCCGGGTACTGGGGCAGATCACCTTCAATCATCCCGAGGGGACCACAGTTTCCTAGCTCCTTTCTCCTGAGTTTCCACCATTGTGAGATTAGGCAACAAACAACAGGTTACCAGCTAGTGTTTTAGAGTCACTGGTTTGTTTCTTGTCTCTAGCCCCATGAGAATGTCATTGCCCTGTGTCACCTTGCATGTCATGTTTGCTGTTGCATTTCCAGACCCCAGAACAACGCCAGGCACACAGTAGGTGTGCAGGGGGCCCCTGGAAACAGCCTAGGTTATAAACATACAGCCTCAGTTCATAGATTTGCAGCAAAATCCTTTAAGTGACATAAACATGCCTTTTTCCACTCAAGGCCCCCAAAGGCATACGATGGAATATGTTTATATAAAGTCTTTAGACAAAAATCAGAAAGGTATTTCCATGAAGAGTGTCTAGTACTAAGCAACTCTAGGTGTAAGGACAACTTCAAATAAGTGCCTAACTGATGTGGTTTCAGGGGTTAGGTACTGCCACCTGTTCCTAAAATTACCCCAGGGAAGAATTCCTCAACCTTGGCACTGTCGACATTGGAGGCCAATACTATTCTTTGTTATGGAGGGCTGTCCTGGAGAAAGATGTTTAGACGGGATAATCTTTAAGCCTGACCTCCTTGGGCTTCAATATTCTTATCCATCAGACAACCACAATTTCTGCCACCTTCTAGACCTGTGTTGCCCTATATAGTAGCATTTAGCAACATGTAGGTATTTAAAAGTACATTTAAATTAATTGAAGTTAAGTACAATTTAGAATTCAGTTCCTCAGTCCCACTAGTCACATTTCAAGTGCTTATAGCTACATGTGACTAGCGGCTACCATTCTAGAGAGTACAAATAGAACATTTCCATCACTGCGGAAAGTCTTAATGGACAACACTGATCTAGACTGAAGACAAGACTCTTATTTGAGAAAGATTTTACCAGCTAAAATGGCTAGCACAGAAAAGTGCAGAGGATTATATACTACTACCTTTGTACCTGTCCTAGGTAAAAAACATATCTTGGACTCTAGTTCCTATTAAATGTATACTCTAATAGAGTAAAAACACAAAAACTCCCCTCATTTTACCCTGTCTCAGGCCACCAGCTGATAATCACTATGTGCATGGAGCTGTGCTATAGATAGTGTGTCCTTTTGCAGGCCCCCAAGTGGCACCAGGCACCAGGCAGAAACTGCGCCTGGGAGCAGCCTGTGAAACCTAATGGCAGAGTTTAGTACCTTGGGTCCATTCCTTGCATTACAATCTCATCCTGCTTGCACTCCATCATGTCATTTGTAAACATCGCGTGGAAGTACGGGATGGAGGCTGCTAAGACGATCCGGTGAGCACTGAATTTGTGGTCCCCAATCTGTGGGCAAAGTAAAATACAAAGAGAGATACTGAGGAACACAAGCACAAAGGCCCAACCTGTCCCTTCCACAGCGCAACCCATCCCCTGCTGGAATGGCACCAAAGGCATCCTATTGCATGACAGCCAAGGCTTATCCTGAAGACCCTTGGGTATTTTCAACTCAGTGTACTCAGTTACAGAAGAATGTAAACAACACATTTTAAAATGGTTAAAAAATGTAAGCCTGAATGCTTCGAGTGGTAGTTTTACTTATATGGCAGTTTTCACTGCACCCCCCCCCCCGACTCCCCC